TCAGTGGAAAACCAACCGGTCTGAAGCGTACCGACCCGTACCTACACCGACCGTTCCGACACTACACCATGGAAAAGGGGCATTAGAGACCTGGTTCTGTTTGGGGTCTAGGGGGGTCGTGGGGTTTGCTGATGTTTTCTGTCTGYCTTTTAGCTCCACAGCTGTCCTCCAAGCCGTCCCCTTCGAAGCGCCGGTGCTCAGAGGAGAACCTGCAGCCTGCAGCAGACGAGGAGAACCAGGAGCCRGTGAAGACTTGGGCTGCAGCTCCAGTGCTGTCGGATCCTTCTACAGACAGACCCCCCCCGGTGGACCCTGTCAGCGTTCAGCCGAACACTGTCACTCCTGGGCCTGGTGGTCCCAGCAGCAGAGAAGCCCCCAGCGGGTCCTCCCTGCAGACGAACAAGGAGGACKCGGTGGATCACGTGGCTCCTGGAGCTGCTGGCATGAAGTCCCGCTTACAGAAGCTGGCAGAGCAGAGGAAGTGTTGGGATGGTGAGAGGAGACAGAGTCAGAATAAAGCTAAATAAAGCTGGATCTGACCCAGATGTTTCACCTCGGTACTTTTTCAGGCAGCTGTGATCCAGTAGCAGACAGCGTGCCTCTGTCSCTGCTGAAGAGACAAGCTGAGGTCCACCCTGCTCCTGCCACGTCCTCCACGTCTTCAGAGCCTCCCGTGGGCCGCAGGGGCAGGCTGGCCCACCTGGCTGCCACCATCGGGTCCTGGGAAGATGACCTGAGCCACAGCAACGTTCCCAAACAGAAACCCGGTCCCAGTTCTGTTCCTAAACCTGCTGCCGGCACCAAAACAACCAGCYTGTCTGTTTCCAGCTCCACGCAGGTAGGAGGATCGTTTCCCCTCTAGAATAAAACAAGAAGAACCTAAAGCTTAGTGAAGGTTTCTAATGTTTAATTTGAAAAGTTCAGAACAAAAACAGCATTTCCTCTTTTATTATCAAACAGAATCTCCTTTAAGTTAACTGAGTTACATGTTTGTACAAAAGTGAAGCAGCTGAAGCACACAGGAGTGTTTCCATCTGGAGTTTTTATGTACCTGAAGGATCAGAATCAGACTTTATTGATCCCAGAGGGAAATTACAGGTATTACAGCTGCAACCATTCAGATCAGAGAAATGTGACAGGAAACAAGCACACTAGAATAAAAAATAAGCAGTGTTGTATAAAGTGCCTCAAAGTGATACTTGAATAAAAGTATCATCATAAAAATACTTTGGTAAAAATTAGTCTTCTCTAAAAATATTACTTGAGTAAAAGTC